CCAGGATAGGGGCGGCCTTACTGTAGAATCATCCCAATGTTCGGGACCGAAGGTTGACGATTGCCATTTTGAACTTCATCCTCAGGGAACACCATCAAACCAGCAGCCATATTCAGGGTTTCACAATTCTGAACTCATTTTTTAATTGGCCAACCATGATTTAATTATGAACTCACTAGAGTTCGCTATAATCTAGACACTAGAAAAAAAACTAATCAAATATATCATGTGAAATAGTGTCTCCTGTTCAGCAGCTTCTTTTTTAAAATATTTTCACATTAGAATTATTTGTATAATTATAACTTAAAACATTAGTTAGTAAAATAATGATATATTGATGTATGCATAGATTTTGGAATGCTTAAATCTAGAGACTGTTTTCACATTCTTTTTTAAATATATATTTTTTTAATATTTATTTTTTAGTTCTCGGTGGACATAACATCTTTGTTGGTATGTGGTGCTGAGGATCGAACCCGGGCCGCACGCATGCCAGGCAAGCGCGCTACCAGTTGAGCCACATCCCCAGCCCCTGTTTTCACATTCTTTATGGTGTTTGAAGAGAAAATTCTTATAAATTTGATGAGGTACTCTTTATCAAATTTTCTGTTCTTGCTGGTGTAGTGGTTCATGCCTGTAATTCCAGCAGCTCAGGAGGCTGGCACAGGAGGATTGCGAGTTTAAAACCAGCCTTGGCAACTTAGTGAGGCCTGAAGCATCTTTGTCTCTAAATAAAATATAAAGAAGAGCTGGGCATGTGGATCAGTGGTTAAGTGCCCATAGGTCCAATCCTCCATACCAAGAAAATAAAATAAAAAATAAAAAATAAGGGCTGGGGATGTGGCTCAAGCAGTAGGGCGCTCGCCTGGCATGCGGGCGGCCCGGGTTCGATCCTCAGCACCACATACCAACAAAGATGTTGTGTCTGCCGAAAACTGAAAAATAAATATCAAAATTCTCTCTCTCTCTCTCTCTCCTTTCTCTCTCTTTAAAAAAAAAATTAATTAATTAATTAAAAGTTGTTCCTGATTGTATCTTCAGTATAATTCTAAGACATCTTTCCTCTCTCAAGATCAACCAAATTCTCTCTTGTTCTTGCCCTGATAATTCTAGTAATTTCAGTATTTGCATTTCTGTGTGTTCCATGACACTACAGTATATTTTGACACATTATACATACATGGAGAGAAACTTATTCTGATTAAGATCCCAGTCTTTTGGTTGTACATTATGTGGAGTTACCCTGGTCTGTAGTCATATATGAACATAGGAATGTGTCCCATCCAGTCTACTCACTTTCCTATACCCTCCCTCTCCCTTCCCATAATTTCTCTTTGTCTAATTCAATAGACTTTTATTTTTTCTCCCCACACTCCATGTGTGTGCTTGTGTGTGTATGTGTGTGTGTCACATTTTCTTTATCCACTCATCTGCTGAAGAGCACCTGAGGAACCAGCCTCTACCTCAGAGCAAAGCCTGTCCAAGGAAGGGGGCATGACCCTTGTCTTTGGAAACACCCACACAGAACTCCTAGGCACAAATCCATCCTGCTGAGTTGTTTATCTGCAAATAACAGGAGAGATCTGCTGCACCAGATGTCCCTGATTCAATCAGGGACCATGCCTGCCTTAGGTTGTCCAATACTACATATGGTCCTTACCCATAATTGGATGGGCAGACCTGAAGGCATCAGCCTCCTGCCTTAGGTTGGTACCATTGCAATAGGATCTTACCTGTCATTGACTACTGGTCCAGGATACAGCCACACCTGTGGATAGGCCTTTGTACCAACAGGGGGGTGGGTTCTTTGCCTCAACTCTGTTGGCCCCTAAATTGTAGCTGAACGACCATCGCAAGAAGAAGGGAGAAGGATACACCAAGCTAATTGACAGCTCCTTTTGGAAAAATTGTACCACGGATGACACCATCAGCAAAAATACCCCAACACTACCACAAGTTGCTGCACCAACAGATAGTTCACAATGCTTACAAGTGATATATAGTCCAGGCAAGTTCTGCAAGCAGTTCAGTGATAGCTATTGCAGAAGCTGTAGATTGGTTTTATCTTTATCTTCACCGGCACTGGGGTGAAGATAAAAATTCTGGCAATAATGGCTAAAGAAAAAATTATGTAACATTCAGCAGGCAATAAAAGAAAATAATTTTCTGAACAATTTACATTATCCTGAACATAATTATTAAATATAATGAAAAGGAAAGGTGAAAGTAAACAAACAGATCTGTTAACCTCCTTTTTTGTTCACATATTAAAACAATCCTCAAC